AGCATTTAAAAACAATGGTTTATGCAAAATTTGGGGGGCAAACAGAGTGTATTATGGGGAATTGGAAAATAGTCAATAGCAATCCTCCCAAGACCATGAAGACGTCTCCCAAGTGCATCCATAACTCAACAGTACACGATGAAGCGTTAACCATGTGTTTTATAAAGTAAATTTAAGAGAAAACTTTTGAATTTGTTAACCGATAGTAGGGAAAAGAGGTGAGTGTTGTTGTTGTCATCTGCACAAGCTGTGCAACCGTTATGGCAGTTTTCGCTAACGACTACCGTATCAACTTACTTACCAGGAAAGTAGGTAATAAAATGCATTTCGATTAGCCGCCTTCGTTGCAAACCGCTTGAATTTCCGATAAAATCTGCAAATGTTGACAGATGCCTTAATTAGAGGGGGCGGGGGAGAGGGGAAAGCGCCTTTGACTGCTGGTCCACATGGTTCGTACAATCTTGAAAAGGTCTTGAATTTTACTAGTCGTCTTGAAAAATCCTTGAATTCGGTTTAGGTCCTTGAAAAGTACTTGATTTCTTTATTAGGTCTTGAAAAGTCCTTGAACTCCCACCCTTTTCTTCGCCAGACACCTTTTTCCGTAACTGATTAGATTATTTTGCCGCGAAAAAATTTGGCTGGTTCATCCTCAGCCGTGTAAGAACCTGTAAAACTCGCGGGTAACGTAAAAACATTTTTGTGCATGAACAATATCTTATTTCTGTTTCTTTATTTCAAATGTTATTTCTGTACCTCAGGTGCAATTGCAAGTCGTACCCAGTCATTTTGCAAAGTCTTGTTGCGGAAAATAGTATAAAATAATGTGATTAAAAAACGACGGCCGAAGAAGTAAAAATCGTAAATGACCCATGACGTGTTTTAGGTAATAGGGTGATCAAAGGAGGTTAAAGAATGCCGTTTTATTAAATAAATGTTAGTCCCTGAAAACTGTAATTTGTCCTTGAAAATCCTAGAAAAGTCCTTGAAATTAATTTGTCTGAAGTTGTACGAACCATGTCATGGCCATGAAGCGGACACCTCTCTCAGGCAAAGCTGGTATCCGGGGAGCACTCCCATATTCCCAAAATACTAACTAGTTTAACAGAAAAAGGAGTCCTAGCAGAAAATTGTGTATTTGAAATGGTAATTCCTCGCAAAATTATTTTACAACTAACCTGTTCCATGTGTTCAGTAGTGGAGCGCAGGAGAAAAATAAAGTGAGAGGGGGAAAAGAGGAAAAAACACGGGAGCGCAGCTCTCAGTCTCGCCCTCATCCCCCTCTTATTTTTGCTCGATCTATGTTTCACCCGCAATCCGCTATCTGAACGCTAGACTTGCCACAAGTTAGCCTGCGTGGCAGGCGTTAAAAGGGGAAAGGGAAGGGGGAATTTGGGCGCGCGAGGGAGAAAAGAAAAGAAAGGAAAGTTTCCCTCCTTCCTCCTCCCTTGCGCGTGGTCTCGCGCTCTAATTTCCTTCCCCTTCCCTTTCGAACGCCTGCCACGCAGGCTAGCCACAAGTTAGCCTCCCCCGCACACATTCTTAGGGCTGCGTCACGCGTTCCGACACGAACGAGTGACGAACCCCTAAGAACGTCTGCGTGGGAGGCTAGCCACAAGTCGACTGCTTGAGATAACCAGCGGAAACCGGAAACGACAGTTTGCGAAAGTCTATCTGAACGTCTAAAAAGGTTGCCCGGGAAAGGTTACTACGTTAACCAGAGAATCAAGTAACCAATTTCCCGGAGGGTGGGGAGGAGAAAACGCCTAAGTAACAAATCAAAAGGTTCTATATTGCAAGAAGTAATCCAGATCCTGGTGAATGATGCTGTATTTATCCAGGAAAACAAACTGTTCCTCGAACTGCGCTAGGCCTACAATCTTGGACAAAATAAATGGAAAACCTAGACCCCCCCTCCCCCCCCCAAATCAAGGATGGGAAAATGGCGCGTTTTTGCCCTTCGCGCGCCTTCATCCTTGATTTGGGGGGGATGGGGGTTTGCTGTTCCATTTTATTTTGTCCAAGATTGTAGATACCAAAATCCCGAAAAATGGCCAAAAAAACCTATCCGGAAATTCTCCAAGAAAATGTTTATAAACCCCAATTTTATCTCTAAAAATCTCGAAATTTATTCCAACTTCACATAATTTGCATAAAATGCGGGATTTTTGTGACCTGCGCAATTTGAGCACAGGTCCTGTGGTAAAATTGCATGCAAATAGTTCAAACTGATTCAAAATGGTTATTTATTTACTAGACAATGTAAGTGGTTCGTTAGTCTGAAATTTCATACGTCTCCACCCCTTAACCCATGCCCCCTACAGGTTAAGGGGTGGAGACATATGACATTTCAGACTAGTAGTTCGTCTCGTTTTCATATTTCTCTTTCAAACAAACGATAACGACAACAAACACTTACCAGAGTTTGACATTTCATGTGGCATAACCGAGGACAAAAACATGACAATTGTATTTTTCTAAACACTATCTTCTAAAAATCCCATTATATGATTTGATTCTTAAAATCCTAAAAAAATCTGGATTTTTGTATCTAGACCTAAACTGCGCGTTTCTTAGTAAGTGACCAAACATGATAAGCATTTCTAGTAACTTTATTTACATCACAGACAATTGCACTGCTGCTGCACTTTAAATAGCAAATTACAATTGAAATCAAATTCCTAAACATAATGGTACTGATATTGGCAAATATAATAACAAATATCATAATACTTCGTTGAACTCCTTTCGATCACCATTGCCGAACAATCTACATTGTTTTGCTCACTCAGTGAGTAATCCTGCTGAAGGCAGTTATTTTACATCTCAGCGCTGCTTTGCCTATCTAACGACGTAGTTCAGCTGCTCAGTGTTGTGTCTCCCCCTGTAGTTCAATAGCCACATTAAAAGTAATATTGTTTTTTCTCATATTTGGCTCATTGTTATCATTATCTTTCCTTTCCCATTGCACTCTTTTATAAATAATCTTAAGCCTGGAGTCTGGTCTAATTGCGCCATCTGTTTTATCGGTTTCTACTTCAGTTGAGTTTAATGCAGGATGAAAGAATCGGTAAAATAAAATCAGGGCAATCAATCCAATAAAGAACGTAACCCATTCTGTTAACAACATCACCACACGGAACTTCGGTCCGTAATGTGTTACAAACGTCCACCAGATAACCATAATGGCGTTTTCAATTAGAATTAATAGATAATAGGGATATCCCCACCGTCGAGTGTTCTTGCCTTCTAATGGAAAGAAGCAAAAAACATGGACGTATGCAATAGCACATCTAAAGAATGTCTGTTTTACCACTTCACCCTCAAAGTATTCGCATTCCTGTCTCCAAAGCAGAGCACACGAAGCTACAAAATGAATTGCAACCACTACAAACACAAAGCGAGTGAAATAAGAAGCAAACAAGGCGAGTGCTAGTATCCTTGATGTAAGCATAAAAAGACGCCATATAAAACAGAACAAAGATCCTAAACTGCACCAGTTCAACTGTTGACTCTCCTCATCGGCAAGACGAATATACCTTGCGTAGATGAGCAAGTGGAAGGCAAACAGAGCTAAGGACTTGGGAATACTGATGGCCACAATGAAGTCTTCAAATGATGTCAGATCTAGAGTACTCCCACGACAAAGCAGAATGTAGAGTTGTAAAGCGACCTGGAAAGGAAAAAACGTTGTTTTTGGATAGGCCCAAGGAGTACTAAAAATGTGGACGTCCAAATACCCAATGGTCATTACGGGGCGGCGAGAAACACTATTTCCCGGCATCTCTTTGTATTCAGAAAGTCTCAACAGACCCTTCCAAGGTTTTTCCCCAACTTTTCACATGGACCAGTTAGGGAAAATCCGTCGACACCACAAGAAAGAGCGCCTTGAAATTGCGGTAAAACTGCTCAATTTAAAAGTGATACGTCTTAAGGGAGTGAAGACGTAGCTCCCTCAAGTTACGAAAATTTACAGACCTTCGTGTGTGTGCAGGGCGTGCAAGGTTGTTCAACGTCTGAAAAATTTCGCGACTTTGAGGAGCTATATTTTCGTTAGTTTTCAAAGTTCGCAATTTTACTAATTTGAAGGCGCTTTTTCCAGTGGTGTCAACGGATTTTCCCTAACTTGTCCATGGCAAAACTGGTAAAAAACTGTGGAAAGGTCTTTTTCTACTTCTCTTTATTTCAATTTCGCAAGAGCCAATAAGTTGACTTACAGGAATCTTGAAATCTAAGATGCTGCAACTGAACTTCAGTTACTATGGTCAAAAGTTCAGTGCGTAGTCAATGAAGTACAACCAGTCATTGATCCTTTATGCTTCACAATTAACTGGGTACAAAACAGAGAATCAAGAAGAGAATCTGTTTTCGCACTATAGACCTTGTCACGGTTTTCGACGCCATCTTGACGAGTAGGCAAACGCGTGAGAAATTACAGTGTTTGTATGAGAATCTAATGTCGAATAATAGCTAATAATTTCCGTAGAATGGCGGTTCTGAAAAAAATATGAATTGTTAACTAACGCTTCACTCATAAGGAATCTACTGAAAAAAAATGAGGGCGTTAGATACGCTAGAAGACCTAGAACCACTTTTTAAAATTTTCCGAAAATTTTAAAAAGTGGTTCTATACATTTGTCCGTAAGAAAATCTCGGGAAAAATTAGAGACAAATATATGGAAAATCTAAAACAAACCTCTGGAGAAATTTAAGCACAGGTACGCCCAGAAAAATTTTTAAGTACAATTCTTGGTTTTGTAGCTTTAGTTTACAAGTCATATTTTTTTCAGGTCTTTTCAGAACAGCCCTTTTACGGAAATCATTCGACATTAGATTCTCATACAAACACTGTAATTTCTCACACGTTTGCCTACTCGTCAAGATGGCGTGACAAGGTCTATTTATAAGGTCTCTCGCGGTTTTTATTCGACCAGCAGTAAGTCAATATCGTTATCAGTTCTACTTAATCTTTTTTACCCAGCTGCATCTTAACATGAGTGGTGTGTGAACTACTAACTTAACCAAAACCATTGTATACAAACGCTAAATGAGACCAGAATTTTATTTACAAAACTAAGTTCACCTCTTATTAAACAGCAATAGATTCCCTAAAGCAAACCTGTGGAGCCTCCTCCATGAATGCTTCTAACACTCCCAGAGTGCTTGTGTCCTGAAGCTGAGCAATATAAAGGCGATATCGTTCTTTATCTCCCGGTGATTCGTCTTTTCTACTTCGTATAAGACGTACAGTCCTGAAAACCTGACAGCATCTGGAGAAAAGACATTTTTAGAGCATCTCATTTTTTTTTTAATCTAAATCCCTGGTCACTAGTTTAGTACTGAAATACAACGAGTCTGCAACTCATTTATAAACTAACCGTACTACATAACCATCAAGCGCTGTATCTGCAGAGTCTTAAACTTTTGTTTACTGAAATGAAAGAAACTGCATATGCGTCCATTGTTCTTCCCAATTTGGAATCATTACGCAATCGCGTCTACGGATCCGCACTATAAAAAAGACATGACCCCCCCCCCCCCTTCCCCCCCCCCCCCCCCAAAAAGGCCAAAAAAAGGCAGCCCCGTTTTTTTGCCCAACATTTAAAATAAAACCCCCGGGGTTTAAGCATTTTTAGGGGTGTTTAAAGAAAAAAAATGGGGAAATTCAACAAAAAGAAGAAACAGATGAAACTTATTTTAAAAAAGATATCCTCAAGAAGTCGAGTTGCCGTGATTTAAATCTTTTTTTAACAGAATAAAACAAAACGCAGTGGGGGTCAGACTTCTTCCCACATTGGAAAAACTTCCCCAACCCCCCTCCCGCACCCCCCCTAAAAAAAAAAATGACCCCCCCCCCCCCCCCCTTACCCCCTCTCCCCCTGAAAGAGTCCAAAGAAGGGCAGCACGTTTTTTTACCCCAATATTACAACTAAACAGCCAGTGTTTTAAGCTGTTCTAGGCGTGTTTAAAGAACAAGAATGGGATACTTCAGAAACAAGAAGAACAGATTGACACTTATGTTCAAACTGAGCCGTCAAAATCTCGTGGATAGAAAAAAGGGAGGAATACTTGGTATTTAGGTTTAGTACTTAGGAAAACTTATTTAGTATTTAGAGTTCACTAATACTAAAATAGTCAGAAAAGAATGCGTACTTTAAGTTTACCTAGACCACAAATGAATGGAACTCTCTGTCTCAACAAAATATTCACTAATTCTAGCTCATTGTACTGCAGTGTTTCAAAGATCCTCTTCAAAGCTTTCTATTTCAGTGGTAAATAGGTACACATTTCACATATCCAAGTTTAAAGAACTGCATCCCTCTAACTGCAGTAAATAGCGCACCATCATTTAAATATGAATAAATCTCTACGCATGGTAAATTTCTTGTCAGCCGGTTTTTTGACAGCCGCAGATGAGCCCGTTAGCCCTTTTGGTCCCATTGCAGATTTCTTTACCCTTCTATACACTACAACTGGTCATCCCAACCCTTTTAAATCTATCTACCTGAGGCCTGAACTTGGCAGAAAACCGGCTTTCGTGCGGAGCCTACACGCAGTAGGCAATTATAGGGAATAACCAGGCACTGGAAACGATAACTGTCATAACTTAGTAACTTTATATTTTGATATATCTCGTTTTTATATTTTATATTTTAAAATTACTTATTCCTTAAAAAAGTTGGTGTTTAATATATCTTAACGATAAGTGTAGGAAACAGAACGTGGCTAGTCCACACAGCCATTTACACACTGTACTTGCCTTGCGGTTGGTTTGTGTTGGGTAACGGAATCCGCTTTGCCGTTGTATTTTAATACTACGTCCGAGGTAGGTCCGACTCCGAGAGTAAAATTGCGTGACACGAGCAGGGAAGATATATTTTTCCTCTAGATTGAAGACGAGTTCATGTTCATTTTGCGATCAAGAAAGTTGCAGACTGGCGTAAGAATTTTGAAAGACAAGAATTGTTAAAAGGTTTACAATATATTAGGAGTTAAGGAAATAAAATAATGACCTGTTGTTCGGAACAATAATAAACGATTGACAAAACGTGGAACGAAAACCTGAAATCATCGTCGAGTTAACAACAGGTTAAAGTACAATGAAAACAAGCCTCTACAGAAATTGCGTAAATCGTGCAATTGTAAACAATCAAATTAAAGAACACGATTTTCCCTTATTTTTATTTTCGAGACTTAAATCTCACCCTGGTGACAACCTCATGCGCAAGCTATACTCCGCGTTATGTTAATGTTATGTTTTCAAATGAACTATTTCACAACTGAAAGATTACCTCAACAGGGTCCCGCCGAAAAAACAGTGACAGGCGTAGAACCATTTCTTGATCTCTAGTCCATTTTTCTTCAATATTTCTTTCTTAAAACTCCTCTGATCTTCTAGAAACCAATTTGCGGATACAATTTCGATGGAAACAAGCGAAACGAAAGCAAACGTAACGGTAAGGAAAGCCCAGGCGACGTCACCGCGGCTGTAGTGTGCCACAGCAACTCTCAAGTCCAATGCTAGATCTAGCAAAGACACCAGAGCAGTTAAAAATGGAAATAGCAGGTCGAATCGAGTGCAATTGCCTCGTTCGTACCAGATCTTAGTTTCAGGGTCCTTTGGTGGTTTCTGAGGCCGTTTGTCGACGATCCAGTCCAACATTTGACTGAGCTTTGTCCCACATGAAACGCGGTTACAATGGCACACACAATCACCACAAAAATGTTTTGTCATTTCCACGTCCAGAATTAAAGAACCACGAAACCAAAAGCGAACAGTATACGCATCATGAGATCACGCGAAGCAGAAGAGCGAGACAACCCGTAGTTATACCCGTTTTAAGGAATGTGTTCCTCGAAATGGAGTTAAGGCCTGAAGGCGAAATTCGTATTACTTCAGTCAACAACGAGGGAAAATGCTAAATCATGACCATTTTGCATGATTTAACAAGTTAATCTGGAAACAAATTACACAATAGCTATCGATAAAATAAGTCATTGTTGAAAATGATATCACCCGCTGTCAATCAAAAACGAAATCTTTATCAGCCACCCAGCGAATAGCCTGCGAAAACAGCCCTTTCTCCTCGTTGTTGGCCGCTGGGGACCTTTCGGGCGGAGGAACGTCTGCGATTCCATACTGATGACGTAAATCAATGTTTGTTCAATTTTACGTTTCTCCTGGTCGATTTCACTGAAGTGTTGTGTTCATCTGCCAACGAGCTTCAGCAAAACACAAAGCTTCTTCTAGAGAAGAATATATTCCACCAATTTTGACTGTTTTGTTAGAGATTCATCCCGTTTACATTTGACTCTCGTGGCCTTTTGAATTTGTGTCTGTCATTCGTAAACAATAGCTAAAACAACCAATCAATGACCAATCAGCGCTTCTGACCGGATTCCGGAGAGATTTTACGTTATCAATATGGAATTTCTGTCGCTGAGTCGCAGACGTTAATCCTCGCGAAACGTCCTCAGCAGCGAAGAGCGAGGAGAAACGGCTGTTTTCGCGGGCTACCCAGCGAAGGGCGGAGTGGAACTATCACTATCACTATCACAAAACAGTCTATATTTTTGCGTATTCAAGTACGCGCGAGCAGTCAAACAAAAGGTCTGGAACGAGGCTGAAAACAGAGAGCGAGACTCACACGCCATACGGGCGTGTGAGGCTCGCGCGCCTCGCGCGCGTAGGACTCTTACGCCACGCTTTACCGATTTTTTTACTGATTTTGAGAGAAAAACCGACTGTTTTACAGTCTAAACTATCACATGAAAATGACGGAGCGTCACTTGTGTTGGGGGAAAAGTGATTTTCCCCCGCGCGTAGCGCGCAGCTAAAATTATCGGAGATCCTCGTCGTCCGTCGTCCGTCGTCCGTCGTCTTGCTTAGGGGTTCTTTGGGGTAGGCTCGATTACCAGCCGCTGTTGGGGAAAAGAGCCCGCGCTCTTCTCGGAGAGGACCCGAGACACAGGGTCCAGAGGAGTTTCGCGTGAATAAATGAATTACTTATTTAAAGTCTCACCTTGAAAAATGTCTATACCTGTCGCTTAGCACGATTGAGTTAGCCCAATGGGATCTTTAAACGATTTCTTCGCTTGATCTGACCGCCTGATCGCAGGTTAAGGGACTAGGCAAGGGACGAGACTTAAGCCTTGTTTTCATATGTCGGGAAAATCCCAGATGATCGGGGCTTTCACTTTTAGCCGACCGTCCCAGATATATCGGATAATCGCCACAATTCTCTCTCTGATTCTCCGGATGAATTTGGCCGGAAATGGAAAGCGCGCCACAAATTGAAACTTGCGTGATAGGGGGACTGGAGCCCAGCAATTTGGGGGATTGGTAATGAGCGAAATCCATCGCCGACGCTTTCGCAATTTCTTTTTTCGCCGACGTATCCGACGATAGTACGATACAATTGTCGGGAATGATCGCCGACCATCGTAGAAATCTGGGACGCGTCGGGAAAATAGAAATAGCCTGAGTATCATGCGTTTCTGTAGCCTGCGAAGCGCAGACGCATTTCCGGTCGTCGCTTCTCTCCCTCCGAAAAATAGCGTCTGCGAACCCGAGCGGCTAAACGATTTCCGTGACGTAAGAAGTTTTTAGCCAATCACAATTTGGCTCTTAAAAATCAAGAACTAACTCGCAAGGTTCGTGCGCGTCTGTCACGTTTCCACGCGGAAAAAAATGGCGGATACGATGGAGCACGCATTTGCGCTAGCCTGCGAAGCGCAGACGCATTTCCGGTCGTCGCTTCTCTGAGGGAGAAAAGCGACGACCGGAAATGCGTCTGCGCTTCGCAGGCTAGCGTTTCTGGGGAAAAGGGGAAAGATGGAAGCGAAAAAGGGAGAGAGCTGAAGGAGAGTCTTCTCCACCTCCCCCTCCCCCATCTAAAATCTCCTCTCCCCTAACCCCCTAGGAAGGCCTGCTGATACTCACAGATACTCAGGCTAAAATAGAAACGCTCCCGATTCTCCAGATTTGTCCTAGTCCATCCCAGACGATCGGGGATATCTACGATTTCGAGTTTTCATTAGTCGGCAAAATCTGGGACAATCGGGAAACAGTAAAATCCCAGATCGTCTGGGATTTTCCCAGATAATTTTGAGACATTTTAGTCTAGGCCTATATTTATAGGCAAAATCTGGGATGGTGGGCGAAAAGTAAAATCCCCAATCGTCTGGGATTTTCCCGACATATGAAACCCATGCTTTGGGGGGTAAATATCTCCAAGTTCCTGGTAGTCGGGTCCGCGAAATAGAGAAAGAGCGAACGCGAAAATAAAACAGGAGGGAACTAGGGAGAGAAAGGGTAAGTTTATTTTCATTTCAAAAAACTATAATAAATGACACAAAGTTAGTGTCTTCGACGAACATGTTCTCCTTCACGTGTACGGAGATAACAGCAAGTCAATTTGTTATCAATACTTGACAAGTTATGGTATCATTATGGCAATGCGACCACAGGGAACCCGAACGCTGTTTTAGCTAATAGAAAAAATTAGATGTATTTACGCTGTATTAGCCAATAAAATAACAAGATGCATTTTCCCTTGTTCCTGTCACTGTCTTTATAAGTCGTTTTGGGAGGAATCTGAATCCGATCAGAGACGGTTGCTGGTTCTCAAATGCGTTTGCTTGCCTGACGAGTCGTAAATAAGACGCTCAAGTTTCGTCTCACGTTTCTAATATTGTTAACTATTAACTTTCCTCTAAACCCGAGATCATCTCCAAAGAAGATCGAGAGTTCCATGACAATACTAGAAACGTGAGACGAAACTTGAGCGTCTTGATATTTACGATGCGCCAGACAAGCAAACGCAAACCAGCAATGTTATTCAATAACCATCTCTGATCGGATTCAAATCCCTTCCAAAACGACTTATAAAGACAGTGACAGGAACAAATGACAATGCATCTTAGTATTTTATTAGCTAATACAGCGTATTAATACATCTGATTTTTTCTATTAGCTAAAACAGCGTTCGGGCTCCCTGTGTGCGACCCTACATGTAATAGCTTATTTGTTATTGCGGTAATGTCTTTATTTTTACAATGAGAAAGGCAAATTATTTTTCATGTAAATTCTCATATTTTCGTTAGTGCCAAAAGCCTGCATCGACGCACAAAAAAACAGCAGTTCCTGACTTCCTGTTTCTCCTTTTTCTTTTTCCTTCCTGTTTCCAAATTAGGCAGTGGGAACGGCAATGACGTACGTGGGAGGGTGTGTTTCCGGTTTGAAAGTTGCCTTTAAAACATCTACATCTACATCTACATTTCAGTTGTCAAGACAAGTTTCGAAACGTTAGTACCACACCAGCAAGTCAGTAAATCGATCTGAGAGGATGAAATTCGTCGACCCGATAGAGTCTGAATCAACCCGCGAAAGAACGCCTTCACAAGGTATTTTAAATCGTTGTTTGCTGGTGGAATTGTTTCTGCTTGAGTTTTTTTCATTTCTCGGCTATTACTTGGCTAGTGGCGTGATTCCATACTGTACCGTAAAATTCCGAAAAAAAAAACCTCCAAATATAAGCCCTCCAAACTCGTAACGCCAAAAACCCTCCGTTTAATCGACCCTTCGAATATAAACTCCCGGGGGCTTGTACTTGGAAATTGCCCTCATGACAAATACAAAGTAACAAAGCAACATGTTTTTGTATTACGTGTGCCAAATGATTGCAGTCAGAAGTGTTACAGTTTGTTGCTGTTTGCGGAGTTCACTCTTTACTCTCGGCTTGGATTTCCTTGGTCCATATAGACAAAGTACTTGCATGACTGCGTTTTACAAAGGTCTACGTCCTCAAGGCGACTTTCAATAAAACCTTTCTGCAAATTTCTGACGTAAATTTCCTTCGAACTATAAGCTAGCCCAATCGTTTTTGAGACGCAAATTTCCCTCCGAGTATAAGCCTAACCGATTTTGAAACGCAATTTTCCTTCCGTATATAAGCCCGTCCAAAAATAAGCCCCTCAAAAAGGGCCTTTGAAAAATGTAAGCCCTGGGGCTTATTTTCGGAATTTTACGGTATTTTATGTCGAAACAGAGGCTATAGTAACAGAAGAAGTAAGATAATCAATAATAGGTAAAAGCTTCACATTGTTTACGTTCTCGTAAGGCAGTAATTTATAGGATCCAGATCAAATTTGTCGGGTACATATAAGTTAAGCTTATAGTTAGGGGTGCCGAGACAGGAAGCTAGCGCTACAGTGTTAACCATGCAAGTTTCCTCCAATTATATAGGCTGACAGAAATACTCACTTTTAGGAAAACTCTTCAATTATAAAGAGTTATTTTTATCTGTAATTATGTTTCCAATATGTTTTTTTCTTATCATCTGACATATTAAGAACAATTTTATGGATCTTGTGTAATTTGGGCACCCCTTGGTCGAGTATGGGTCTACACTATCGGCCGATACTCGGTCAACATGTCGACTGACATATCAGCCAACCCTCAATCGCCATATTAGTGGACTGCCGGTCGGCATTTCGATGGATATGTCAGTAGACTGCACGACAGTCTGTATTTTTGCGAATTCAAGTACGCGCAAGCAGTCAAACAAAATTAGGTCTGGTGAGAGGCTGAAAACAGAGAGGGAGACATGCTAGCTCGAGCACGTGAGACTCTTGCACTATTAAACCGATTTTGAGAAAAAAAACAGACTGTTTTGCAATCTAATATGTCAGTTGTTACTGGAACGATATATCAGCTGGTGTATCGGGTGACATATCGGTTGATATGTTAGCCTACACTCGACCACATGTTGGTCAATATGTTGACCGATATGTTTACTAAGCAGCACCGGTCAATACTTGGCCAAATTATACCAGTCGACACCCAGTCAATGTAGTGACTGTCAATTGTCTGTGGGATATCAGTGGATGGTCGTATGATATAATTTGTGTTAGTAAAATCCAACTAGTGGTCTATTATCAATGCTGCATTCTGATTGGTTGAGCTACTACCAGGCTGTATGTTACAGCGCCAGCTTTGAAAACCAAAACAATGGCAGCTGAATCGTGTTTTGCTAGCTAAAGTTCTTCTCGATATTTTTGACTGACTAGTTGGATTTCACTAAAACAATTATTCCTCTTGCCCTGATCATGGACTCAGAGCCCATTTGGGCTCGAGGAAAAATTGCCAATTAATCAGAATGGGGGAGCTGGTGCCATGGCCTGAGAAAACAGCCTACATTTTGCGGCACTACCACTGGTTTCCCAGCGAAATTAAGTCTGACTTGATGACTGGAGAAATTCCATACTGATGGTGTTGTCACTACCCAGATCTGGGTAGCTCTTCTGGTTGGTCATGCCACATGGGAAATCTACCCCAGCTAATCAGAGGCACTACCCAGGTATGGGTAATGGTGCCTCATCAGTATGGAATTTCTACAGTCACTGCTCAGAAGTCATTTTGCAGATAAATGTGGCTACAATGGGGTATACTGAGGATCACTCAAAGACTTGTAATCTAGAAATATGAAATAAACATCAAAGTACACAGCCTTCTAAGATTAGATTGATTCTTCTGGCATGTCCAGGTTCGACCATTTTTCATTTGACACAGTGCAGTGTGCAATCAATAAATGAGGTATTTTAATTGTTTGAACAAAAAAATCATGCAGACACGTGCAATAATCCTAACTCTTGACACTAGACTGGTTAAAACTGCCAAAGCCTCTCTTAAATCACTGTATGGACAATGCAACAACAAAAATTTGAGATGTTACAGGTCAAATCTGATTTCAGGTTAAATTTTTTTAACCTAGGTTGATTCTCAATTTCCTTTGTCTCCTAACCCAAACTATTCATGAATTAGGGCTAGGAGACAAAGGAAATTGAGAATCAATCAAAGTATACCTGTAAGCAAATTTGACTCGTAACAGAGAGAGAAAATTGATAAACCTCCAGAAGAATAGTGGACCAAGTATCAGCCAAATGTTGGTAGCCTATTGATCAACATATTGGCCAACTATCAATCAACATACAATGTCACCCAACCAACACTCTCGGCTAACATACTGGTCCACTCTTGGTCGACTATCACTTAACATGTCAGTCAACAAATTGACCGATGAAGCGATCGAGAGTGGGTTGATATGTCAGCCAACATGTCCATGGAGTATCGGGTGATAGTGTCGACCGATACTTGACCGATGGGTGCCCAAATTATGCAATTAAGATCCATCAATATAAGAGAGCCCCAGGTCCACAACAAAGTTTTGTATGGGGAGGCTCCACCTCAGGGTCTGACCCCTCGTTACCCTCTTAAAGTAATGTTCCATTATATGCCTTGTCTATAAGTCAGCTTGGAGCACAAAAGCTTCTCAATCAGCAGTTTCTGAATGATATAATAGTCATATGATAGTGGAACCCCGCCACCATACAACCGCCACTTTAGGACGACCTTTTTTTGTGGTCTCGCCAAAAATCCACCTATTCTCTTAATTGGAAACTTGGTTACCATAATCCAGCCATCTCCATTATTACGACCAACGAGGCCACCACCTTTTGGAGTTCTTAGTCCTTATTTTCTTTATAGAATTACACTGTTGATACGACCTGTTCAATTGCCTGGTGAGGAAGCTTAGTGAAGACAGACTTTTTCAAAACTGTTTGAACTTGCTATTTCTGTTTAACGTGTTGCAAGTAAGCTACAATATGGAGAGAATGGCTCATAGGGGTATTTCCCATTTCCCGTGTACTGATCGGTTTTGTATAGTTACATCATTAAGTTGCAATGTATTGCAGTTGTAAGGTTGAAAAATAACTGTAAAAAGATTGAGTTATAGCAAAATTAAAGTTATTTATGTGCAGTAGATGTTTAAGGCATGTTACACCTTAATGTGACCCTGTAACCTCATTAATATGACCTCCCTATTAAAAATATACAACCAAATTTTCATGCCCGAAGGTGGACTTACCTGGTATTAACAGGCTTCCACTGTATATGATTTCAAGTTTAGCGTAGTCCTGAATTTTTCACATAGGACTGTTGTTAACAGCAAGTTGCTCCAAGTTTGTTTGCAATATTTTTTTATCAGAAATGACCCACCCCCTCCCCTAAAAAGTTAAATGGTCAGCTCCTAGCAATAGAGATGGGGAAAGCAAGTCTTTCTGAGTCAATCCATCCATAGCTGAACAACTGAGGCTTCGCATAATGTGTAAATAAGTAAATTTTTGAAAACTAATCGACCTGATAAAGTTTTGAAAGGCTGGTAAAAAAAAGTACCCAATGCCCCTTCCTGTACTGTTAAACCTAGAAATGATCTTTTCAAGAATGATGTTCACCATGCTTAAATAACGACACAATTCACTCATTAAGCGGTTTCTGGACTATATATTAGGACTATATAAGTGGACTATTTTTATTAAGCTCTTTTAACTTGACAATTTTTTTAATTCATCTGAGCTTTACTCATTAAAAAGACATTATTGTTTGCCTTGATGCTGCTTTTGGTTTAGTTTATTTTCTGACTATCCAGACCTATTTTCCTGGAAGTTCCAGTTCATAACAAAAACTAAATAAAATAACTAAAGCACTTTATTTGATTGTCAATGTATGTAGCATGCAATTACTAACATGGAGACACTTTTTAAATTTTATGTCTCCAACACTGGAGATGGGACCACCATTTAATGTGGTCATCTGAGGCACGTAAAGGTCTAGCTGCTTGCAGTGCAAAGGCAGTCCCTTCATTTTTCAGTTATTTTAAGACCCTGAGTATTGGTCTGGCCCTAGGAATGAAACTCGTGACCAGCCACTCTGCAGTCAAGCATTCTGCCATGTTAGCTTATCCTGCCGCAGTTAAATAACCCCTTTATGTAAAAACATGTCGAGGCCTGCACCTAGTCAACAGCAATTTAAGTGTAACTTAACTCCTCTAAGTCTGAACATGACAGTATGATTGCATAATAATTATTAATCATACTGTCATGTTCAGACTGAGAGGAGGTAAGTTACACTTAAATGAGAGAGTAGGAGACTAATTATTAGTCTCCTATTCTCTCATTTTGTTTAGATGCGTATGATTCAGATGAAGAAATATTTGAGAAGACAATAACTCCAGCTGTTGAAGTTTGTAATATGAGTACAGTTGACTGCCAAGCCACTGCAAATAGCCAAGATGATGAAGAAGCTGGTATCATTGATAAAGCAGAAAGGCGACGCATGAAGTTTCCATGTCCTCCAGGTCCAACCCAGGCTGCAGAATCAAATGAAAGTAACAAGTTACATAACAATGGTAACTGTTCTTTTCAGGATGGTGGGAAAATAACTGATCCACGGAGCCAACCTGAAGGTAAGCTGCAGGTTGGAATTCAACTACTGGCATTAATAATGGTTAAGCAAATTATGCATTTTGTTATTAAGGGTGTGTTCCTTTCGGCGAATCCAAAAACGGATTTTTGATCCTAGACTTGCTGGATTTTGCGGTCGAAAGGAACGTGAAATTCGAAATGGGATTTGTAACCTTGGCAATACCCCTGTCACTGGAAACCCCCACCCTGGGGAGATATGGGGTATTACTGGGGGTGTGTTGCGGGCTTTGCCCTGTTAATTGGGCCGAAGGGATGGGGAATTAACCTATTTTAATATCAGAGTTGCCTTGCTTGTAGGGGTGGGAGATTAGTTCATTTTAGTTCTTTCCTTTGCCGTAGGGTTGGGAATTACAAAATTTTTCTATCGAGGTAAGACAGGAGTATGGAGCAAGAGGATGGTTCCCAGGCTCAAGGCCGAGCAAAGCATTTTTTTTCATCCCGCCATTTTTGGACAAACGAGCTCAAGATGGGCGGACGACAAAAAGGTGATTTCCAGATAATTTACTAAAATATTTGCTTAAAAAGGATAGCCCATCTGTGTTTATACGTCGTTTTTTATTACATTTGCATTGATTTGGGTTCAGTGATTTAGTTATCTTATATATAGTTCAGCTTAAATTACCTCAGTTGTTCCGGAATTTCATCGCGATGTCCTGATTTATTTTTGACTATTTTAAGTAAAATGTCTTTAAAGTACCTGTGAATTCTTGATTTCTGCGCCTGGTTTGAATACAATTGGCTTATTTATGTTGGAAAATCCAAAACTGTGCTCCTGTCAAATTATCTAAATTTTTCCAGGCTCTTTCTTAAAATTAGTTTTGTTTTAACTCACTGCAAATGTTTTTCGTACTGAATTCCAACAATGCTTGTACTTTTTGAGTTGTCTTAAATGTTTTCAATGCTTTTCACAGATTCTTGTTTAGTTTGGTGAATTAAAGGGACAGTGTGCCAGAAGGAGAGTGGTTTTATGAAGCGTGCACAGCTGCTGTCTGTCTCTCACACTCTCTCTCGTCCTGATCGATTCCTGTAAGGATCCACTCTCCACACCATGCTCCTCACTCTTCTAGCTAACTAATAACTAACAATGGGGCTTACTGAGACAGAGCTTGCCGCCCCCCCCCCCCCCCCCCCCCCCCCTTGGGGGGGGGAGTTTAAGGAATTTTTCCCCTTTTGGTTTGAGGGTTTGGAAAAAAAAAAAAAATGTTCCTTAAAAAGGGGCCGTTTGGGAATTTTTTGGCCATGGCGCAATACCCTTCTTTTTGTTTTTGGCTTATGAAAGGGAATTGGTCTAGCAGGAGAAGTGTTTTTTAGTAGCTCTGCCACCTCGTTCTTTGTTCTCCCCCTCCCTTCCGTCCGTGTTTCTCTCTGCAAGGAACACCTTCCCCCGCCGCCGTCCCTCTTCTCCACGCCAAGAAATACATACAAAAGGGGCTAATTACGCAAAGCCTTTCCCGCCCCCCCCCCCCCCCTCCTCCCCTTGGGCGGGGGAGTTTATGGAGTTTATCCTCATTTGGTTTGAGCGTTGAGAGAAAAAGAAAAAGTGTTCCTTAACATGGGGCCTTATGGCAGTTTTTTGCCTCATGGCTAATGCCCACACCTCCCCGGAATGGGGGAGTGGGGTGGGGGGGGGGAAGGTTCCAGTGACAGGTGTATAACCTTTCGCAAACGCGTGCAATATTCATGACAGCCTGTCAACGAATGACGTGTTTTCTACTGTTAGACAAGTTATGCGATTATACCGTACAGAGTTTTGTGGTCGGCAGTGCGAATAGCGACGACGGAACATAACAGATCAAAAAAGGAGCGCGTTTAAGTTCAAAAATTATCTAAAGGTTACGTTGTTGGCTTAGTTTAATCCAGTTTCGAAGCTCGGATTTTTTTATGTCACACGATCGAGTGCCTATCTCGTCTGCAAGCGAGTTTTGTAGTTAGATAGCAGTTCATTTGTCCCTTTTACTTATTTGTGTTTTTAAGCAATCTTTCGCGACAAATGGTTATTACACGTATATTTTAAGGTACCAGGAACAATCTTCCAGTGTTTTCAGACGTTGTACGGCAAATGGCAGCAACTAGGAAAATCTGGGGGAATACTGAAATACCGCTGGATCATCTGACTATTTTCGGATCCACTGAAAATGGAACAGCGTAGATCACTAATCCGTTAATCTGGATTTGGATTCTTCGGATTTCAAATCCAATGAATCCTTTTTCAAAAAGGATTCACCAGATCAGAAATCCGGATTTGGACTTGCCAAAAGGAACGCGAAATACGTTTAAAGATCGATCTAGAATCCGTTTTTGGATTCACCGAAAGGAACACACCCTAAATATTATACTAGAAATACGTTATCGCAACATCCTCTCGAAGCTTCAAAGGATCAGCAGTGAGAAGAAAGGGAAACAAGCGAAATGAAAAAAAATGATAAAAAAACTAAAAAGAAAAAAAATGTACAAATTGTAAAAGTAGGATTTTGCCTCGAATTTGAACTTGCTCCCTCCGAATCGGATCTATCTTAGCTATAGATCGTTTTCACTGTCACGCAACAAAAAAATAAATTGGAAACGCGTCTAGTGGCAAAAGCCAAGAAAATGAAATGTTATAAAAGACTAATTTTGGAACAATTTGTCCAAGTCTCAGGTCTTTGACGCCCACAGTTTCTCAGTTATTTGCCGAAACGTCTCACGCACCTTTGTAGAGCTTTGTATGGAGACACCATATTGGTGCACTGTTTTGGTGCACCAATGTGGCCGCCGGAAATTAAAAAAAAAACACCTGGAGTTCACTTTTCCTATAAAAGCTCTTTCTTTTCACTCGATAACTAGCATATGTGCGCATAAACATATTATACTTGAAAAGGTTATACTGCGGAAAATCAAGAGGAGAGACTTTTTTTCAACAAGACAGCATTCCTATTTTGGTGTCACGCACTGTGAAAACTCGTAAGTTCAAATTGCTGTACTTTCGAAATGAAACATGCTACGGGAATGAAAACTTGTACATAAATTTACTTTTTATTTATTCTCAACCTAGTGTAAATAAGAATTCGTAAAACCTCGCTATTTTGACTTTACAATTTGATGACGTCGCTGTGAAAACCATCTATAGTTAGATCCTTCACCACTGCGCCACGCCCCTGAATAATTGTTACACTAAAATTTAAAGCATTTTTCTCTGCCGTGAACGCTGTTTGAAGTTGGTGGAGCGGTATTTATTTTGAATTCTAATATCCATTTGAGGAAAATTAGCTTAAAGGCGTATTTCAAAGCCATTTTGCATTATTTCGGTCGTAATTCACTCTCGGCGATAGATGCACGGAGCTGATTTGATCATTATCGGTCACATCGATCGGCAGGGAAAGAACCAATTCATCGTTGGTTCGCCTAGGTGTAACATGAATTCAAAGGTACATTACGGGAAAAAGCACAGGCAACCCAGGCTCAGTATTTGTGTCACGTACTGGTTTCATATAACATGAGTAACTATACATACAAAGTTTCGGGAAAAATAGTCGCCTCCAAATATGCAGGAAAGGTGAAAGAGACTATTTTCCCCGAAACTTTGTGTGCATATTAAGGACAGCAACAACTCGCGACATGGTAAGTTTGATCGATTTTTATTTCCATTTTCTAGCAAATTTCCAGACCTAAACTTCGCCCCATATGTTCTCTTTATTTACTCATGTCATGTGAAACCCGTACGTGACACAGATAGTGAGCCTGGGTTACCTGTGTTTTGAATAAACATGATTTGCATTCGCACTTAAAGTAGCGTCGCCTGGCAACCCTAGAAGGCACCCTGACGTCACAACTGGATGACGTCAACTGCGGACACCCAATAGATGTGTAGAAATATTCGCAACTCGAGTTTCTGCCTCGCTGTGCGATCAACGCACGAGGCGCGACAAATTTATAAACCTCGCGAGCTGAGGCGCCTGTTACTTTTGGGAAATTGCCAACGGATAATAAGGAATAAGATGGTGTCAAAGCAAAATTTACCAACACACGACAAATTGAAGACCTCAAAGTGTTTCTACCTCTTCTAGAAGAATTTAACACAGTAATAATTGATAGAGTTGAAAACAGAAACTCCTGAGTTGAAAACAATAAAAAATAACTCGTTGGGACCTCAGAATTCGGTAAAGGGAGAGTGTTAGGTTCCGTATTACTTAAACTTCTTATAACCCTTAGAATTTTTATTATGTTGACTGTATCTCACTGCGATGCATCTTACTGGCATGTTTTACCTTTAAACAATGGCGGGTGACGGCAAATTTGAAAGTTTCTTAACAATTCTAAAAAAAATCACGTTGCACGTGTTCAAATGTTAATCGGTAATGTGCACTTTCAATCAAAGAAATGAATTTTTTTAGGTTACGGGCACTTATACGTGGCCCTTACCTTTGAAAATTTTTCAAGTTCTAGGGACTGTCCATGAAAAGAAACCAGGTAGAAGTTCTAAGGATGGTGACCAACAACATACAAGTGAAGCTTCTACTAAACAGACATGTATCTGACATGTATTCCAAAACCATTGAACCCGGTTATTACTGAAGTCATAGTAGTTAACTTTACTTATTTCCGAGTCAACTCTCCTATTCAATATTGAAATCAAAATTTTTTTCTTATATTCTTTTCAGAAGTATAACATTCGATAGTGTTACTCTTAATTGTTTGATAACATTGGTAAATATTTGTTAATATTGCCTTTAATGTGAAATTGTATCAATTCAAAAAGTGTTGCCCCATCTCATGAGTGTAAGTATATATACCACACAAGTAAAGTGCTTTTTGCGCGCGCTGATTGGATCGAAGGTGATTAGCCAAATCACCTCCAACCAGCCGTAAAGAAAGAGGAGAAAAAATGACTTGAACTGCACTTTTTTCGTTGAAATAAAATGTCGGATCAAAAAAACATTGAAATTTATTACTCAATCGTGGAACGTTTGAATTCACTCGTTTCGTTCATATCATTTGACTTCATTTGAACATACGGGGCACGCCGACACGGCCCGCAAGATTGTAAAATTCCCGCGTATTTGCGCAGGCTACCATACGACGTTTCTCGTTCAATTTGAAATTTATTTACACGAGTATATAAATCGCACGAGTATGTTTTTTAAAAACTATCAAAATTTGAGCTTTTTGAAAAACACACGAGTGCAAATAAATTCCAAATTGAACGAGAAAATTCGTATGAGTACTTTTTACTGCTCTTTTCACAAACATGCGAACTCTAAAGCTCAAAAGCCGCCTTCACAATTGCGTTTTTCGCTGCCTTCAATCATAATTACGAACCTTGAAACACAGAAACACACAAAACGGATCGAAATCCACCAATCACATATTATCATCCATGACCTTTTGAACCCGTTAAAGTAAAGTTTTGTTTCCTAAGAGGTTCGTTAAGATGATTGACGGCAGTGAAAAAAGGCAATCATCAGTTGGCTTTTGAACTTGAGAATTCGCATGTTTGTGAAAAGCGCAGTAATAGTATACATGAAAAAAATACTTGCCTGGCTTTGTTTGGACTCTTTCCGCGGCCGGCTGGACGAACAGTGTAGTTGTTTGGCATTGGCTGGAAGTCGTAAGACAAAAAACGGTACTGGATTCAAAACTCCAGGACGAAATTTTCCAGATTTAGTTATTTCAATATTATTTGTGTCAAATTGTATCAATTCGAAAAAGGTTGCCCTCTTTCAGGGTTTAAAGCTCGTATGTAGGGACCGCGTTAGGAGTTTCATGAAATCTGTGGGATTAAGGTCCTGTGAGGATATTTTCATTGCTTTCTTTTTCTCCATACTACATCCGTAACATCATTACTTATTAGTAATGGTAACAGGGCTAAGTGGAGTCCAATTGGGTCTGTAATCATATGAGTGATTAACAAAATCGGACGACCGCGTAGCGGGAGTCCGATTTGTTTAATCACGAGTATGATTACAGACCGAATTGGACGACACGAAGTTCTGTTACCAATTAATCATAACTTAAACAAAATTTTTGAAAAAAGGCTCTTTTTCAAAACGAGAAATTCCAATTTTTTTTGCTAGCAGTGAAAAAAGAGCCATTTAAGGGCGCGCGTGATGGCGCGTTCTGTCCAATTACTTAGGCATGACGCGTACTGTCCTGTTAAACTGTCCCATTAAGGCTTAAATCAGGACAGTTGATAGCCAACCACATTTGACAATTTTGTTATAGTTATGATTATACAATATACCGGACGCAAAATTACTTTCTTAGCGAGTCATTTTCCTGAAATATTAATATTGTTATTAGGTAGAAGCAGGGTAGAAGATTTATTAAAGATAAAAGTCATATTTTTATTGCCTTTTCATTTTGACGAAAGGCTACGCTCCACAATGAACATAGAGGAGAAGTCGTTACGTCACGTTGCCGTGGTAGTAACATTTTTGGATGACACCACTGGAACCGAAAATTCACTTAAAAGGTAAATTCGCACCGTTTCAAACTTCATCGATCTTATTCAGTTTCATTTAATTTGTGAAATGTGGGCGAAATTTTCTGGATTGAATCCGAAAGGACCGTATCTGAGTTTAGAAAAAGAAAAAGAAACTTTTTGTGTTGTGTTCACCTGCTCCGCAACGCGGGCACGTGAAATTAGGAAGTTTCATGTCGCAGTCGTGCAACGATGACCAAAAAATGTGCAAAAAAGCGTGATGCATGTGCAAAGTTGTTGTTTTACTAATATAAACTTATTGCTTTTTTTGCCGTTCTCGTTGCCGTCGCCGTCGCCGTCGTTGTTGCCTAAGCTCCCTTTTGTTGTGATCCAAAAATTTTGCTACCATGGTAACGTGACGTCTCACTTCACCTCTCTATTGGTCCTTTCCAATTCCCACCGATCGATATGACCGACGGATCAAAAACTGGTAATGGTTTCAGCTCCTTACTTCTATCGGCCGTTGAACCCGATAGTGAATGAAAACCGAAAATGGCTTTGAAATACCCTAAAATTCCGAAAATAAGCCCCTTAAAATAAAAGCCCCCCAAAATCGTAACGCAAAAAGCCCACCGTTAAATCGCCCCTCCGAATATAAGACCCCGGGGGGCTTGTACTTGGAATTTGCCCTTGAATACAAAGTAAAACAAAGCAAAAATGGTAAATTTCCTTCCCTCCACAAGCTAGCCCAATCGATTATCAAACGCAAATTTTCCCTCCGTAAATAAGCCCCTCCATATATAAGCCTCTCAAGAAGGGCCTTTGAAAAATAAAATCCCTGGGCCTTATTTTCGGAATTCTACGGTACGCATTGAAGCTAATTTCCCTTAAACACCCTTAATTACAAAAATTAGGCAAAAAAATTACCAAACCTAAAAAGACCTAAGATATCATCAATCAATCAATAAATATATTTTATCTGTAACTAGAAAACGGAGATTGGATCATATCGACGAATTCACGCTTATTTAACGATTTCTGAAGATTTTAAGAAAGTGGTTGGTTGCCTTTATACGAATACTTACCAGCTAATTGTCTGAAATTTAGCTGCTAGAGCCCTTATTAAATGAAGTAAAAAAATAACCAAACTTAAGAGTTTTCACTTATCTTCTACTCAATTTGATGGTTCGAGGAGTATCACTTATAAAATTCACTTATTTTGATTTTTGTCTTGTGTTCTTTGATTTTTGTCTTTGAAGGAAAGAAAAATATATTTTTTCGTTTTAGTGTTTCATTTTGAATTTACGGCTTATCTTTGATTTCCAAAATTTATTGCGCTTGATTTATCAAATGGCGTTTTTGATTTTCAAAGTGAGATAGTTATGGATCTTACCTAAGTGATAGCATCAGTAGTGTGGTCAGCAATACTCAAGCCCAGGACACTAAGACATATATCATGGCCGAACGAGACAGAGAGGGTGTTTTCCGGGGAAGCTGCCTCATCAACCATCAGAGCAGTCGCATAGTCTGTTATTGTGAAACTGAAGAGGTTTGAACCCGGGAGTCATTTCATAAGGAGGGTGAGTATGATCGTCTGGGTGAACGTAGTTTTGAATAGGACTCTTGTTGTTGACAGTGACTGACGTTTCGACAACCTGTGCGCGAGTCATCTTCAGAGTCAAAGTGAGTTGTATCAGTTGTATCACTTCAGCTAAATCAAAAGTATTTACTCCAACGAAGGAACTACAGAACATCGCGCTCCAGTCCAAAGTGCTCTCTAATCTGAAGAAAAACATCGCACCTGAAGGATGCACTCAAGAAAAGTCTGGGTAACGTTTTGCCGCCGAGGCCTTCCAACCTTAATCCAGACCCTGCTTACACGTAAGCATATGTTAGGACCCTGATTCGTTTCGTTTCGCATACAGAACTAAGTAATTTTTCAAACTAACATCGTGGAATTGTATTTTTTGGTAAAAAAAAATGGTTTGTACCACAAATGTACACTGCTTACATCCAACCGTCACATTCCTGTAAAGATTCCGTTCCAAGACCCTGAAAGCCATGCCCTGCTCAGGGGCACATTACCGTCAAGGCCAAATAAGGAAGTGCCCCCTTCCGGGAAACACCTACAGAACAGAGAATTCTCTCCATGCAATATATAATCTACCGCTCGAAAGAAAAAAACTAAAAACATTACACTCTTTTTAATATAAGAATGTTGTTTTTTCGGGCCAGGCTGAATGTTCTTACTTTTTTGCCGATTTTAGCCTGAAAATATTCTTGTATTATTCTTGAATTATAATTGAAAGAGAAATAATTTATCATATACTTTTTGCGGTTTGTTCATTTTTTTTCTTGCTGTATACTATAGATATGTATTTCATTTACCGTTCATCGAACTGTCATTAGCACTGAACATTTGGCTATAACTAGTGCAGGTTTCTTCGTTTTGTTAGGTAGTTTTGCCATGAGAGGAAGAAATAATTTGATACCGTTAAGTTAAAAACACATTTTTCAGATTTTTATCACTCAAAATAATCATCCTTTTCGAAATCCTAGCCTCGGGTTTATTCTTAAAATATTCTTCAAATTTTGCAAATTTCAGCCTCGATAGTCTTATAAAATAAACTCTTATAGAACAAAAAAGAGTGTAGCTGTAAAATTAATCACTAAAACCAAGAAAATATCAAATTAAAAGACAAGAATCCAACTAAGTGAATTTTATAAGTGATACTCCTCGAAAACGGTAGCCAGCCATCATCATCAGTAGATATTCATTTTAGAAGATATTGTCCTAAACAACAGGTATCCGATAAACAAGATGCTCCTGTCAGAATTGTCTTACCTTTCAAAGCCCGGAAATCAGAGAACGCGTAAGACACCAGCCCAGGTGTTATCGGGAGTGGGGCGGGGGCGTCCAAACTTTGGTTCAGAAAGGACTGTTGAACTTTTCTGTGGCACATTACTTCTCCATTCCTTGGCCCCTTACCGTGTACTTGAAGTCTATTCAAAGGATGCACCCTTGGAATATCCTGCTCTTGTGCTTGGTAAGAAAGATTGTACAGATTTCGTCGCCTTCATAGGAGGGTACCCAAAAACAATTACATTTTTGAATATCTCTTGAATTTAGTTTTGTGGCAAGATGCAATCCAGTTAAGGTGGCTCCCTAGAGTATTTACTAATAACGCTAGCTATCTAGCATACGTTACAGAACGAAATCTAGTTACTTTGTCTTTACGATTTTGTTCACGAGATTCTCCGCTAAGGACAAGGTTACCCATATAAGAAGGCTCCTTTAGAAAGTTTCATGTATTGGATTAAGGCCGTTGCCATGGCGACATCGCATCCTTTGACAGGCAGTAATTTTGTCATTTTTGATCATTTTTTCTTAATATTTCTTATTTCCCTCGGTCGTTAAGACGGTTTTGCCAATATTTTCATATTTGTAATTTTTCTTAATGGCGGAATTTAGCTCTTACAGATTTTAACATAAAAAGGACAGTACAAAGGTACTGCAACTGTTAAGAAGTGAGGCGATTTTTAAAAACATTTACCGAAGGAAACGCAAGAAATTCACAGTTAATTAACTACGTTGACGTCACAAAAATCCGAAAAACACGCGTGGTTCGGGGTCGTATAGACTAGTATGAGCAACATACGCGCGTGAGCCATCACGCCCGCACAAAGCTACTGAAAACATGTGGTTTCTTTGAAGAGTGCGAAAACCATTGTTGCAAAGACGCGCCATGCTTTTCAGTTTAATTTATTTCTTTGCGCCATTTTTTATATTTTACATTCCGCATAATTATGTCATTCCGCAAGCCATGCCACATGCCATTCCGCAAACTCATTCCTCCTGTTACCCTCGCCGAGTCTTATGTCTTGATTTGAAAAAAAAAAAAAAAACTCGGTAATGTAACTACACCCTGAACTGCACGGTGACAGATCGCAGCGTAAACTGGACACCTACAAACCTGGCCAATATCAGCCATCCGAGAAAAATTTTAAACCTGGTTTTACAGAAAAGATGGATTTTTTTGACGATTTTTAAAAAAATGATAATTGTTTGATCCTTTGACTCTTAATTGCAACTCATATGTCAAAAAATTAACTGTTTCCGTCAATTCAGTTTCCATTTCTTGATGAGAGATGTATCTTCCGATATAAATCGATGAAATCGGCAAAAATCACGATAAATCGATGAACGAAACGAGTGCCGTCATCGATTTCTACCGATTAATCGATACTATCGATATCAATCAAATCACATTCACCAATTTTTAACGATTTATCGATTGATAAATCGATACGATTTTTATTGATTGACTACTCCGGGCTTACATCAACGTGTGGAGGAACACAAGCGATCAACAATCGGCAACCACGTAAAGGATGAGCACGGAAAGGATCCGGAGACCATTACAAGCAATTTCAAAATCTTTAGAAAGAGTCAGAGCAAACTCGACTGTTTGATTTTTGAAATGCTTTTTATTCGTGAACTCAAACCCTGTGATGTTATTACAGTCCCTCTATTTTTTTTCGCTCCCCTCCCCCTGGAGCTATAATCCCCGACGCCCGCCCCCTCAGTACATTTGAAAATCAAGATGGCCGCCATTAACGGTAAGACGCGCGCTATATCTTGACGAGTCACGAAAAAATAAGGGGACTGTGAATAGTCTGCTACCTTTGGCTTGTTTCCCTTTATTCTCACTGCTGACCCTTTACAGCTTCGCGAGATTTTTGGCGACATGTATCTCTAGTTCAATTCATTAAACAAGGCTTTTTAGGGAGAACAGATACTTTATTGCAAAGTTATTTCATAAAACTGCCGTGGGAAAATAAAGTTTTTAGTTTCACTCACCACTTTTTTTCCGTGATCTACTACTGAACAGACCCACGGCAACATGGATTCCTTTCATTTTATGCAATGAACCGCAGAAAAGAAAAAAAACCGACAAACTTGCCTCGCCGTACCGCTTGATTGTACCAGATTGGTCATTTTCCAAGTCACACTGAAACGCTACTTTTCGTTTCTGCTTCTTAATTCTTAATTCTTTTCTTTTTGATCAAGGCCTTGATGACTCACTCAAAGTAGAATAATCGCGAAAACATTTTCAGACCTGCCAGTCTCATTCAATGGCAACTCGTGCTACTGAGTTTCCAGTTTAGACATTTTCAAATCGTCAAGAACTCGTTCTGTCTTGGTTTCTCCGTTTTTCTTACAACAGCTATTAAAACAGTTCCTGCTAAACGTTTTTTGAGGCGTTCTCTTGACGCCTCTCTTGCTTATTCCGAAATAATCTCTCTCCGTCAATCGAAGACTCAGGGGCAGTCGAGTTGAGTCGGGAGAAAAGGCGCGACGAAAGTTAAGCCATTTCTACAGACCCAACGGATTGCTCCTGGGTCTCCGAAGATGAAATAATCTCGCGAACATTTTCAAAACCGCGCGCCATGTTGGACAAAAGAAACCGCAATTATATTTCCTTGCCCCATGTAAGGGAATACGGATTTCGTAATCGAGAAGTTAGGCATTTTTGCTTGTGGAATCCGAAATCCGGGAAAATTTTGCTTGTTGAATCTAGAATCATTGGCTTTGGAATCCGGAATACAGCTCAGAAAATCCGGAATCCCACTAACAATTAGAATCTAGAATCCAAGTTCCACTGGCAATGACTGGAATCTAGTGCCTGGAATGCGGAATCCACGGTGTGGAATCCAGAATTCAAGACAGCCTCATGTTCCATTACATAGGGAGATTTTATAGTTTTTGCATGTGAGCAATACTCGCCTTCCAGAAGTACTTTTGGTTTCCAATTATGTTGCAGTTTCCAGCCTGTAAACCTCGTTAGGGTACTGCGCCGTGTTTTAATAGAATTTTATAACCCGATTTTCTACTTTCAACGTGCACACTCCTCGTTTCTGACACAAAATCTACTGAACGGCTAGAATTCGAAGCCCCCTTTTTCCACAATGATAAAACGATTTAAATGGCGAGAGGTTTTGCGGTTGTATCAAGGGCATCAAGAATTGTTGATCAACAAAAACATGAAGCACACCTTCAAGCGGTCAGATGCTAGAACAACTGTCGCGGATAACAAAAAAGGTAAATAGTTCAAGTCAAGCGGCTTTTGATGCCTCATCGCTGCAAACCAAAGGGAATTTTACAGTGAATTGATCACTGTATGTCAGACTATAGGAACAGATCTTCGTGTTCTGTTGCTGAAAGAAATGGAGCCGTGTGTCTGAGCAGGTTTCGTGTAGCTTGAAACTAATCTGTGAATGAAGCTTTTTCTATTCCGGTCAAGACAAGTATGTTGAGAGTGATTTATTGGATACGAATGTGCGTGTAGTCGCTAGTTTCTTGATCTTTCTTTCCTGGTTTTGTTGTGATTGTTGTTTATCTGTCACGTCGCGAGAATTCGTTATAAAACTCCTTAAAATCCAATGCATGATGCATTAGGTAGGACAAGAGATCGGCGTCTGAATCAGTGCCATATCGAAGTCTAAAGTCTCGGCCGAGCCAGGCGGACTGAACGGCTCAGCCGTTGGAAATTATAATAGGCGTTCCTAAAACATGCTAAATGATTCAAACGCCCAACTTTAATTTGATCAATTCGATGCATTATAGCTACTACTGGTGGAAGTTCGAAGTCTGAACAGTCCTTAGTTACAGTTTTTAAGTCATGCAACCCACCTTGAAGAAATACTGAAGCAGGACGGTGATCGGCCGCAAAATCAAAATGTAACGCGCAAAACCTAATCTGTAATTCTAGGCGCCTATGAGACAAAGAAACTGAGAATAGAGCTGCCTGAACACCCTCAAATGGACGACACTGACTATTCAAGACAGAGCGTTCCAGACCTGAGGGGCTTGTCGTTATTGGCACCTCCACAGGCTGAGCCTGCACTGCTCAGGCCCATTTGTGAGCCGAACATTCTCTCTAGGGTAGTTTTTTCAAGTACGGTTTCCATACTGATTGCTACGTTTAGCAAGTCGACTGAGTAGATAGAGTTCAGCTCTCTTCGACGTAGGCCGTGATCTTGCGCGATTGCAGTGATAGAGGCCTCAATGAAGGAAAGAGAGGCAACCTGGAACGAGAATACCGGCTGAAGCAATATGCTAACATGGCTAATGAAAGATAATCCTTATTTGTTCCTCAGATTTTCAGCTGAGTGAAAGAGAGAGAGCCTTGGCAAGCGTAGCAGATCAAATACGATGTGCAGCAGATGTTCTTCGAGCTCCTATGAGATTTCCAGCTCCAACTCGTCCCCTTAGCAAAGACAAGAGAGAAAGTAAAGGAACTTCACAGTCTATACGAAAAAACGATGAAGTCAGCTGTTTTACATCATTACTACATAAGCGGCCTAAAAAATAACGAAGTTCTCAAAGAATCAGGGCTAAACTCATCGAACATAACTGAAACATTAAATACCTCGGAAACTGAAAGGGCACGCTTCAACAAACCCTTATTAAGGGCAAAGAAATATTTTTAATTTCCAAAATGTCCTCATCAGGCCATACGGTTCCACCGGCAAAAACCTGCCCAGCAGGTTAGGTAAGGTAAAGTTTTTTGTTAGTGTCCGTACAAAATTATTCCCGGCTAGAGCCCACTACGTTACCTAGGAGACGTTCAGAGCAATAACCTGGTTATGTGTCGGCGGCTGGTCTGATACATCTGATACTTTCACTTAGCCTGCGAAAACATCCGTTTCTCCTCGCTCTTCTCGCCGCTAGGGACGTTTCGCGCGGAGGAACTGAAACCTGCGCGAAACGTCCCTAGCGGCGAAGAGCGTGGAGAAACGGATGTTTTCGCAGGCTAACTTTCACTCAAAACATGACGTTCTTAGGCTTTCAATTTTTGACCAGTCAGAGGGCGTCAGATTCCACTTCTTTCCTTTCCCAACCGAAACGAAGAAAATAGCACCACAGACTGCGCCATCAAAATCAACTCCATCTTCATTACGGTCTGAGTCTTTTCAAATGTCAGTGTTCAATTCTTCTATTCAAGTTACAGCGGCGAAGCAAAATAAACTAGACAAACGGCGCCAGTCAAACTTGTGTAATGAAGTATCTATTGAAATGAAAACCAATTAAAATAATTAGTATTGAATAGAAGTTCTGCCGAAAACGTCATAATTATAGAGGCCAGGATTTTAGCGGATTGGTTTTTGTTTTGGGTTATGCGTTGTAATATTTACATTTCAATCCCAGGTTTGACGTCGGTTATCTTATTAACTGCTGGTCAAAAGACCTCAAGAGAGCGGACAAATTTATGTACCGATTTAGGCATTTCGAGTCAGCATGATGATTAAGTTATCAATTTCAAGTATTAATGTCTTTGTTGGATTTTTATTGTGCGGAATATTTGTAATATCACTTGTACTTAATTAAGACATTTGTTCCCCTATCTACACACAATTTAAACACGTTTTCCAGTTTAAACAAAGCATTTAACAGGAACAACCATAATATTTAATGAATTCATGGTAAGCTGGCAAGTTTGGACAGGTAGACATTCAAATAGTTTGGCGTCGAGTGTTGTATGCTTTTATATGAGTGTTATGCTCATGAGGATCGTGCATTAGGCGAAGAATATAGCCACACATCTCGGGACTCGTTAGAGTGGAACACTTTCTTGGCGATCAAATTATTTTGTCAAATCAGGTGAGTTTTGATATTGAAATATCTATATTCATACAAAGATTTTCCTCTCGCGTGGATCTTTGGAGCGGTTTTTGCTGTTGTTTTCAGTGTGCATCGCTAGTGAGCCTAGTAAGCGTTGTGCACACGTGGATTCTGCAGGCACTAATCCTTTTCGACAGTTTATGTGGAATAAACAAATTACAGCACTTGCGATGAAGGTGCAAAATGTCAACTCTAGTTTAGTCTTCTGTTACCACCAGGTATAGCTTAAATGCGGTCAGTTCTAAATTGAGCTTCACTGAAGTCATTTTTAGAATTCATCTTCACAATCTATTGGTTTATTACTACGTGCATGAGGCAAGAAGGTTTAGAGGCTCTTAAAGATCGGTTATCTGATCACCGAATTTCTCCCAAAATTTAAGTTCAAGTAGAAATATAGAAATTTCACTTTCCAGAAACCAAATGACCCGTATTATTTATACTGCTGGGAAAGAGTGAAGTCGTAACAGTCTTTTCCGGCGCAAGAGAATGATGTCTAAATAGTTAGTTTTGGTTCGAATATTTCAAAGAAGAATGTCAGCGCTTACACACTGAAAAGGTATTAACAGATTCAGAGATTTTTGATTTGAGGAGTAACTGTAAAAAGTTCACCAACTTGGACTGGATCAAAAAAGGGGAAAATCCACTTTACCGCCGGTTTTCTTAAAGTCCGGCACTGACTCCTCCCTATTGAAGTGAACTATGCTTTTTTCAGTCATGTTCACCCACTCAACATCTGTTAATTCCGTTAACTGATGAACGTTTCCGAAAACCAAACCGTGGCTCTAAAAATCGTTCCTCCTGATATCTCATTTGAGAAGCCCCTAGAAACATTTGGGCGGAGTGCGGACCAAAGTGGTAGAACATGGGACTGACAGACAAAAAAGATGATCACTGATAAATGATCCCGCCCCTCCCTGCAAAGCGCCAATCGATTGTCACGAAGTAGCGTTTGAAACGTCATCTTCTCAGTCGTTGCAAACCAGCACAACCGACTGAAAAAAATGTCGCTTTGATTGTGGACATTTTTTTTTCCTGAGTTTAAATCTGTCTTAGTTGTTGGTTTGAATTGCTCAGGTGTTGATCATAAGTAGCTAGTAATGGTCAAATCGCAACTGAAATAGTTTTAAAATGCGTGACACTCAAGTTTACTAAGCTGCTGTTCAATTAAACACGACAGGTTTTTTTCACGAATTTTCCAGATAATTTTCAAGAAATTTTTTTAGCAGAGTAGATCTTTCATTGCTTGATTAATTTCTAACAGCTTTAAAGTACTTTCGGATACTTGCAATATTTAAGATACTCTTCCACTTAAAAGCTTATGTCTAACTGTGACAGTAGACTGATTTGTACTCTTTCTTGAGTCTTCTATTTTGCAATCTGGCTTCTGTACGAACTCAAGTTCTTCTTCGTGTGTGGAACCGCACCGCACTAGGAGTAACAGGAAGACCGCACCGATAGCATTAACTAGATTTTCATGAGAACTGAATATCTACAAAGTGGCTGCTTCATGCCTAAATAGACGGTTTCCATTTACATTTCTTCTCAAAAGCCAGGATTAGATGATCATCGCCGATGAAATGCTTTCACACATTTTATTCTGCAGAAACTTATTAAAACTGATATAAACCGTACACAGTGCTGCCACCCCACTGGACACCACCAGTTTGGAAAAATCTGTTGCACGCCAGAAAACACATTAGGGAGCTTAAGCAACAACAACGGCGACGGCTACGAAAACGTCACTCTAAAAGTGAAGTCGCGCTGCTTCAAACTTTATCGCGCTTATTCCATCTCGTTCAATTCGTAAATGTTGGTATCAAAGTCTAGGAAAAGAAAAAGAAAGTTGTTGTCTTGTGTTCCCGTCCTCGACAAAACATGAATTTAGGCACTTTCACTTTGTAGTCGTGCAACGACGGTAAAGAAATGTACAAAAAAGCGTGATGCACGTGCAAAGTTGTTGTTTTGCTAATCTAAACCTATTGCTTTTTTTTGCTTTCTCGTTGCCGTCGCCTTCGTTGTTGGTTAAGCTCCCTATTGACTACTGAAACACAACAGTTTTAAGTGTTTGATTGACTGTTCCATAATCACAGTTCTAAATTTCATCACAGCTTCCTTCCTGTAGTATTGTGGCTGTTAGCAGCAAGTGAGTCTGGGTCAGGTCCTCCTTCTTGGAGCCCGGATTCCGTTCAATTTAATCCCGGGTTCAGTAGACCAACCTGGCCAATTAATAATTTGGTACAGGCCTATGTAAAATTTTAACCATTATTAAAAATGATCAAAACAATTTTATAGAAAATTACTATCCATGTTCTACTATCAATTGAGCTCTCTTAACCTCCAGGCATTAGAGCAAAGCAAAGGAAGATTTTTTGTTCGAGAAGGGCTCTCAGATGACTATTTTTAGAAGTCAAACCCAAACCTTTTATGGATAAAGAGATTAGTACTATACTACTGAAGGATTTATTATGGTATTTCTAAGGAGATTATTGAGTGATTATCCATCTTCAGAAAACTAGAAGTAAGGAAGCCGCTAAAATTTTGACCGATTTAACGTACGTTTTATAAAACATCTTCCAGCTCAGCTAGTAATTATGTGAATATTTAATCACTTAAAATATGCGTTGTTACCACGAAAAAAAATCTTTGGAAATTCGTCTACAGAGAGTCGGAAGTTTATCGTACCCCAAAAAGTGATGTTGTGGTGACGCGTCCGAATCAAAGGCAACGGATCTCTCAAAGCGGGTATCGCGAGCCACGCGAGCGGCAAGACGGCGACATGCGAGAAACGTAGATCGTAACTGATTAACCGCTCGCGGGCCTCAACTGCTCCCTGACTAGTAACTGACGGCTCACAGTGTAGATTAAAGGTAATATACAGTTAACAGTAAATTTAAATGGATAAGAATAAGCTGTGGAAAGTGTAGATGGTTTTCGAGCCGATATCTTTGGGTTTGAAAACAGGTCCAGCTGATTTTTGAGGAGACTGAATACTTTGACCTAGAGCAGATAGAGGCGAATATATAACAATTATTCACCAAAATGAAGGTGGCTAGTATTGGCTATTTACCGAGGCCGCGAAGCGGTGAGGTAAATATCCACCCACTACTAGCCACCGACACTGAGGTGAATAATTGTTTTATTATATACTAAAACAGTGAGATAATTGAGCACAAAATAATGATTTTTAACTCATTTACTGTTGCCAACGATTACAATTTTGTCGCGCGATGACCGAACGGCCGCGGTCGTCGCCTTTTCTTAGCGACAAATAAAACTTTTGAAGGCGTTTGTTTAGCTCTTGCGGGAAAGTTTCTTCAAAAGAAGTTGTGAATTCTGTTTGTATTTAAAATAATTCTGTAAAAAAA